CTTCTGGTCTTTATGGCTAAGCTAAAACCTCCTGGCTCCTAGCTTTTTATTCAACAGAAAATGTATGAATGTGAGTGGTGTCACTCTTACTTAATGATAAGTGGGAAGACTGCTTCCCCTTTTCCTTAAGATATCCTTACTTTATTGGGTACACCTTGCTAGTACCAGCTGGGAAATATTCCCTACAGAACTGCTTTTTCTTCCAAGCTCCTTAGACTAGTTTAAGACAGGCTTAGACAGGCTTAAAGCGATTTAAGTTATTGTCTGGACCACAGCTACCTGCCTAACTGCACTAAGATGCTGCCATGTGATTGGCAGATTAGATATTTGTGTTAAGGTGCAGTTGGGATGGCTGTGCCTCAGGAGGTAGAGCAAGTTAAATAATAATCAGACAGTTGGTGGTTTGATACTGAAACCCAAGCTGGTCCTGATGTGTTCATTGGAGTGTGAATGTTAGATTGACACACGTTGTCTAAAGCACTTGGTGAGTGCTCAAGTGGAGTGGAAAAGCAATTCTGTTAAGAAACCATCAATTTACAATTGAAAACTTAGGAAATTTGTAACTAATAAAGTGGCCCTCTTCCTTTCGCATGAGACAAGTTTCCACACCCCCTGATCAATGTCAGCACACCCAAACACAAGACAACAGGTTTTACTGGCTGCAGGACAAAAGGCAACACACACACACACAGGAAGCTTTCTGTTTCTACCATGCTATCCATTAGAAATCTCTACTAAAAACTCAACTCTAGTGTTCACGTGACCATTGGGGATCAATAAAAACAGAAGACCACAGTGTCTGCACCTATTTACATTCAATCCTATTAAAATCACAACAGGCAAAACACAACAGGGAGTTACCATGACGTGAAGGAAGACCAGCAGCATAAAGTTTTATTAGGCTGGGATGTCTTTAATGGGACTGAGCTCAGTCTAATTTCTTTAACATGCTTAGAATCCAACTGAAAACTCCCCACAGTTGTGTGTGTGTGTGGGTGTTTTGGTGGTGGTGTGTGTGTGTGTGTTGTGTGTGTGTGTGTGTGTGTGTTGTGTGTGTGTGTGTTGTGTGTGTGTGTGTTTGTGTTTGTGTTGTGTGTGGCAGTGAGTGGTGAGATTTTTGGTTTTTTACACACTGTCTGTGTGTTTGCTCACAATAGGGAGTGATGTTGTACTCCATCATCCAGCAACAAAAGGCATCATTTCCCCATACCAACATAACATTGTGACTGTTTATTTAACCACGTGTCAGTATTTCAGCTTTATTTTTAGAACTGAAGCCTGCATGGCATTTTTGATACATCTGTTAATACACCAGTACCAAAGAAAAAAGTCCAGGGAGCTTGAATCCAGCTGGTAGAGCATATGCATCAATTACATGGCTACACGCACACGCATAAACGTTGGACAATGAAAAATAGCAGTACAAGAATTTTAATTGACCTCTGAGAGGCATTTTTTGGCCTCAGAGGTTCCATCATTGGACGAAAAAAACAAAAAAAAAGTCAGACTTCCTAACTGGAAACAGATTTCAGGAGCAGCTCAGGCTTTCACAAGTCAGCATGTAACTGTAGCTCACACACACTCACACTGACACTAACACACACACACACACATATTACACAGACGGCCACACACACATATTACACAGACAGCCAACGCCCCGGACAACTTTAAGCCTAGTTTCCTCTCCGGATATCAAAATGCTGCTTTGCAGATTAAGTGTAAATGAAATCCTTGCAAGTGTAAGAGAGGAAGAGAGCTACAGGAACCAAAATGTAACCTGCTCTGAGTTTGTTTGTTTATTTATTATTACGTAAAGTAAATAAGTAACTAAAAATCTGCAATACTTATTAAAGACTAATAACTGGAATACTTAAGTACAAAATAACCCCGCAGCAGCTACTCGGTCCCGTTTAAAATCCAGCTTTTATGAGAAGAGGCTGGGGTGGTCCGGTACAGAGGGTTAACAAACAGCGGTGCTCATCGGTCGGCTTACCGGGATCAGAGTGAGGTCTGCAGCGGTGGATGAGTGGCTCTCTGGAAGCAGCGGAACTCCGCTTCAGCGACGGCTTCACGTGTTATAAATACTGCAGCCTGTGGCCGCATCAACTCCAGCCAAACACCCACACCTCACACCGAGGCGCAGAGCTCAGCCTTCACAATAAGAGCCCACGCGAAGCCTCGAAAAGAAGAGTGGGTTTTCAAAATAAAAGTAAATATGAAGTTCAGTCAGCAGGCTTTCACTCAGAAATATTATACCTTTATGCGCAATTTGTATCTAATTAATATTCAAAGTCCACGACCTAGTTAAATGATGGCGCCGACATTTTATAAATATAATATATAATGCAAAAAAACTTTGCATGGTAGAGATTTTTATTTCAAATACTCCACAGCCGAACGACACACGGAGCTCGTCAGGAACTCCTCAGTACATTACATGCTTTTTTTTAAAGGACAGTGATAAGTGAGAGTTACATAGCCACGCTACATAGATTTTGCAACACACACAAAAACTTGGTTTCAGCTCTATAAACATAATCTAAACACACTGTAAAGATCAAAATGATACAATTTCTCATTCATCTCATTTTGATTTGTCCTTTAAGGACTTCGTGCAAGCTACACTTAATCACTCATGAAGATGCTTACTGCAATTGTAAATATATA